CACCTGCCGCTGGAACGCCGCCTTCTGAGGATTCTCCTGGGCGACCTGCCCCTGGAGCTCCCCCTGCTGCACCAGCACCTTCTGCTCGTCTGGCATTCTTTGCCTGTTGCCTCCTCTGCTCTGCCAGTGCTTCCCAAGCCATGCGCACCTCCTCAAGCACTTCGAACGTTTCCGGCAGCGCTCCCCGCAGCGCCGAAAACCCGCAGCGGCTCGCCCAGGCGCTCCGCGGACAGGCCCGCCGACGCCCCCAGCACCTCCTGCTACAGCGTCTAAGGCCTGCCTCGCTCGCCTTCAGGTGGCAAGGGCGACTCAGCAACTGGCGCGTGCAGCTCGAGCAGCTCGTTCTGCGTGTCGGACAAAGCCCGCGGCGCCTCGACCCCCCCCTGTTGGGCGGATGCCTGAACGGTGGGCTCCTGGCGCTCTGCCTTTCTCGAGCTTGGAATACAGGCGCGACGCCCCCTTAAGCCGAGTGTCCAGCGGCTTCGCTGCCGCTAGCCTCCTCCGCACCGCGCTCTTCCGCTCCTGGAACTTGGCGCACGCCTCTCTGACCTCAACCGTATTGGTGCCCTGGATTGCCGCAATATTCGCCGCGATCTCTGCCAGTTGTTTGTTGACGTTGCCATCTGGGCCCATGTCGCCCCCGTGCACCTCAACGGCATCATCAGGCTTCTGGGGGGCCTTGGCAACGTAAGCCTGTTCAAAGTCCTGCTCCGCCTTCGTACTGCTGGTTGAGACTGCACCACGCTGGTATGGCAGCTTAGGAACTCTGGAGCTTGCAAGCGCCGCGCTCTTGGCACCTGCTGCCCCGCACACGGTCAATTCTGTCTCACCACCTATTTCCAGAATTCGACCAAGAAGACACTGTGCACCCCGAGCGCTTCGCTTGGTTGGGTGACCCACCAACAGCGGTCCGCCTCCAGCACTTCCATCTCGCGCCTTCTAGCGCGGCCTCGCGGCGGCGCCAACGCGGTGTGGAAATACGCAAAGGGATGCGGGTTGACACCGCAGTCCAGTAGATGTGACACATGCCCCCCCCCCAGCCTGGGCAGCCTGCTAACGGGACGCTGTGCTGTCGGGGGCCGCCCTTCCCCCACGCCACGATGTCAAGTCCTGAGAGAGACGCTACGAAATGGAGCCTCAGTGGCTATGGACGATTGGCGTAGGAGGAGGACGAGGACGATGACAACGACGACGAGGAGGAGGAGGAGGAGGAGGAGGAGGAGGAGGAGGAAAAGGGGAGGAGGGGGAGGAAGAGAGGACGGGTGGGGGAGGGAAACGGGAGGAGGAGGGGGAGGAGGACGAGGAATAGGAGGACGAGGAAAAAAAAGAGGAGGAGGGAAGAGGAGGAGGAAGAGGAGGAAGAGGAGGGAGGAGGGGGAGGAGGAGGAGGAGGAGGACGAGAGGAGGACGAGGAGGAGGAGGAGGAGGAGGAGGAGGAAGAGGAGGAGGAGGAGGAGGAAGAGGAGGAGGACGAGGAGGAGGAGGAAGAGGAGGAGGAGGAGGGGGATGAGCCGAAGGACGAGGAGGAAGGAAGATGAGGGCAATGAGGAAGAATGCAATGATGATACTGACGCGTCGAAGGGGGAAGAAGAGCAATAGTATCAGGATGGTAGGCGGACGAGGCTGCGGAATAGTGAAGGGATGGATGGTAGCATGGAGTAAAAACCAACGGGCTTAGCATAACGAGGGGGCCTCGTCTTGGGCGGCCCAACCAACCCGATTCCCAGGAGTCGAGCACATCATTTGACGTAGCGACCTTACGCGGTGGCTCACGCGGGCAACTCACGGAGCACACTGCGAGGAGAAGAAACACTTACGCGTGACCTTGGGCGGGCAGCTCACGCGCCAGTATCCGCGCAGTCGACTTTTTTTCGTACGCCAAGGAACGGCAACGGGAGGCGAACGAAGTAAATACGCTTGAGGATATTTGCTCAGCGTGTTGCGGTGGTGGCCCAGCGGTACGCCATGCCCTGCAAGCGGGTGGCGTGCTGCTCCGCTCCGCGCTGCGGGAGGCTCGGAACGGCTCGGGACGTCGACGACCAAGGACTGGGGCATGGTCAGCGCGTCGCGCCAACGCGCGGGCCGGAGCCGGCGGCGCGACGCGCAGAGCAGAGGCTCCTGACCGTACCCTCTCCGCGCTGCTTGCGACGTGGCGTATCTCTCTGCAGCAGGTGGCTCGGCCCGGCCGGTCGTTGAGATCTGCTCGCCGCCGGAGCCCTCATCTTGGATACACCACTGGTGCAGCCATCTGGCCTGGCGCATCCGTCGTGAGCCAGGGCGGGCGCGATGAGCCTGTCGCGCCCAAGACAGGGCATATATATAGAGATATGTACATATATATATGTATATATATATATATATATATATATATATATTCTGGCGCGCTTTTGATATTCACACACTGCTCATTGGCTGGCTGCGTCATGCAGGGCGGCATGCCAAACCATTATGTCCCTTTTACTCACAGTCCCACCACATATGCTTCATCTTTCTGCGCGGGCCCCGCACTGTTTGTCTACGCCCTTCTTGCTTCTTCGATCTTCCCCCCGAGTCACCGAAATCTCCTGTACCACTCAGAGCCCCTCAGGACCCTCAAAGACGCCCAACAGTAGTGAAAACCTCCCCGATCCTGGGTCCCTCCTCCTCCTCGATCCTCCGAGAAATTGGGTGCGCCCCTGAGCAGTGTGCGCTCCCCGTTGGCAGCTCCTGGCTCTGAGCTGCACACGCTCAAGGGACTGCTCGATGGTGGCCCGCTCGCAGATCTGGCAGTCTGGCCAGTGCTCCTCCTCGGCCCCCGATCTCCCCGGAGGCGGTGGTGACCCCTCTCGCCTTCTGCCCGAGGAAGCCCGGGCCTCCGGCGGCCGCTCGGGACGTCTCCGGCACCCCTGGAACGCTCTCGGGAGCCGCGGCCGATGGACACCACCGTTCTGCACGCTGCCGAACAGCTTCGGCCCCCCCGGAGTGCTTCGGGGGCGCGCAAGCGTGGACCAGCGATCCATGGATTTGGCGCGCGGCCGCCAAATCCATGGATCGGGGAAGGTGCTCTCCCCAAGATGCGGCCGGTGCCGCATCGCCCGGCGGCGGAGATCCGCGATTCCCAGGAAGGAAGCGGGGCCCGTCGCTCATGCACGCCCCCTTGGTTCTGGGACGCGAGGAACCCAGGAGAAGGAGAAGGAGGAGGAGGAGGAGGAGGAGGAGGAGGAGGAGGAAAAGGATGAGGATGAGGATGAGGATGAGGATGAGGATGATGAGGAGGAGGAGGAGGAGGAGGAGGAGAGGGGAGGAGGAGGAGGAATAGGAGGAGGAGGAGGAGGAGGAGGAGGAGGAGGAGGAGGAGGAGGAGGAGGAGGAGGAGGGGAGGAAGAGGAGGAGGAGGAGGAGGAGGAGGAAGAGGAGGAGGAGGAGGAGCCGGAGGAGGAGCAAGAGGAGGAGGAGGAGGATGAGGAGGAGGATGAGGAGGTTGAGGAGCTCTGGAATGGATGGAGGCTGCCGAACTGTTTCGAGCCCCCCTGCTTCTTCTCCCCGAGCCGCGGGGCAACGCTGGCGCCGGCCCCGTCGCGGAGCGGGACCCCGACAGCCAGCCGCGGGCCGAGGCCCCCCGACCGAAGCGGCTCACGGCCTGCGCCGGCCCCGCAGGGAAGTTTGTTGTTCAACGCTGGGCTTCGCTGTTGCGTGCTCCGTGCCCTTAAGGCTGACTGGGAGGGTGGCGCTCCGGACCTCCCGCAGGGAGGAGGGAGGAAGGAGGAGGAGACGACGACGACGACGACGGCGGCGACGACGACGACGACGACGGCGACGGCGACGTTGACGGCGACGGCGACGGCGACGGCGACGGCGACGACGACGACGACGACTCCGACGAAGACGACGACGAACAAAAACGACGAGCCAGTGAGGGGCAGCCGGTAGGGGGGGACCAGCTCAGGGGGGAAACATCGACCTGGAACCGGCGATACGTCGCCGAGAAGCCCCTGATGGCAACACCGCAAGGTCCAGGGCGGGGCGGGCCATCGGGCCTCTATCGGCGATGAGGGTGCGATTGGGGGTCGATGCGCCCCCCCCTGAACCTGTCCCCGTGCCGCGTGGGTTTCGGGACATGGCTCGGCTGCCCCCCGGAACGCCCTCGGCGAGGCGCAGCTGCTCGGAAGCATCCCGAGGCCAGGTACCCGCCTATAACTGACGAAAACCTCGGAACAACTTGAACCTCGAACCTCCCCCGAGCCTATCCCCCCCTGACTTTGCCCCTGACAGAGGCACCCCCCTTCCCGGGCGGGCGGCGGGCCCTCCCCCTGCCCTCCGGAAACGACGGACACGTCCGAAAACCCTCAGGGATGACGAAGAGGAGGAGGAGGAGGAGGAGGAGGAGGAGGAGGAGGAGGAGGAGGAGGAGGAGGAGGAGGAGGAGGAGGAGGAGGAGGAGGAGGAGGAGAGGGAGGAAGGAGGAAGGAGGAAGGAGGAAGGAGGAGGAGGGAGGAGGGAGGAGGAGGAGGAGGAGGAGGAGGAGGAGGAGGAGGAGGAGGAGGAGGACGAGAGAGGACGAGGAGGAGGAGGAGGAGGACGAGGAGGAGGAGAGGAGGAGGAGGAGGAGGAGGAGGAGGAGGAGGAGGAGAGATGAGGAGGGGTTAGGAGGAGGAGGAGGACGAGGAGGAGGAGGAGGGGTTAGGGAGGAGGAGGAGCGAGGAGGAGGAGGAGGAGGGAGGAGGAGGAAGAGGAGGTGGAGGAGCAGGAGGAAGAAGAGGAGGAGGAGGAGGAGGAGGAGGAGGAGCAGAGAAGGAAGAGGAGAAGGAGAGATTGAGGGTTGGAGGGATGGATGGATGGAGGGAGGGAGGGAGGGAGCGAGGGAGGCAGGAGCAGGAGGAGGAGGAGGAGGAGGAGGAGGAGGAGGAGGAGGAGGAGGTGAAGACGAGGAGGAGGAGGAGGAGGAGGCGGAGGAGGAGGAGGAGGGAGGAGGAGGAGCCCTGTCAGAGATCCCCCCCCCCCCCCCGGGCGGGCGGCGGGGCCTTTCCCTTGCCCGCGGCCTGCACCGCCAGCGCGGCCCGCTGCGGCGCCAGCTGCCCGAAGTGCGTCCAGGGGCTCAGGCCAGAGGACGAGCACCGCAGGGGGTCGTTCCTCCGAGGCTGGCGCGCGCCGCGCGCAGGCGGAGCCCCCGAAACGTCCAGCGGGCTCTGCGCTCGGGCCCCGCCCGCTGACGCCGCAAGCCCCCTCCTCCTCGGTCGGCCGGTCAATGAAAGGCTGTCTGTGAATTCCGCAGCCTACCCAGGAGGTCAGCAAACACAGGTAGAGAGAGAGAGAGAGAGAGGAAGAGAGATCAATGCGTCAGGGGGTCACTCACCCGCGATGGCGGCCAGCCTGAGTCCCCCTCCTCCTCGGCGAATGAGTCGAAGGGTTCTCAGACAAACCCCGCAGGCAACGGCCCTTCCTGGGCCATGTCGTTCCCCCCAGTCACGGGGATCGTGTCGGCAAGACGGGGCGCGGTACATCAATCAACGGTGGCGCTCATATACTTTTTTTTACCCTGCACAATGAACAATCCAACATTGGCATGGCACAGTACACGGCTGGCTGTTTCCAGGGTGCTCAGATGCATCCCGTCCAAAAATGGCCTGCTCGCTCTGGATGTGAGCTCGATGGAGCATGGTATGCCTCGGCCACTGGCTGCTGCTAAAAGAAGCATGCTGGCTCTCATCATCTGCAACTTCTCCTGGTCGAGGAGGCTCCTTTCAGTCACCGTCACGGCACCTCGATCCCATTCTTGGCCCTTTGGCCTCAGATCTCTGGCCAACGACCTGGCGTTCCCTGGCCTTCTCCGCAACAGCTACCCCCAGGTAGCCGCCGATTGCTGTCGGGGGGAGCTCACTCACGATCACACATCAAACGCGTCCGTTCCCCCCAATCCTCTGAACACCTTCCCTGCGCCTTGACACAGAGCAGCACCAGCAGCTGCCCTTGATAGGATGGTGTGTGTGTAGGTGTGTGTGTATGTGTGTGTGTGTGTGTGTGTGTGTGTGTGTGTGTGTGGGGCGCCAGGCTGCACGCCGGGGGTGGGGGGCGCAACGTTGGACTCCCCTTCGTTTGACTGCGAGACCTCTTGTGGGGTGAGCTCGACTGTGGGGATGGGCGGCGGCGGAGGCAGAGACGCAGAGGCGGGGGGTCACCACACAACGACGGGCCATACGTGCGCACGGGAGGGGATGTGACAGCATTGTCATGTCTCCGTGTGGCCCGACTCTGCTGCTGGGTGCCTCTGTCTTCTTGTCTGCCGGACCCCAGCTCCTCATCTGAGGCAGATCTTCCTTCTCCCCACCATCGTCTACGACAGTGCTGGACTCTGTGCATGTGCGCCACAAATCCGCTGTTGTTATGATAATCCAGACAGCAGCTCTGACATATAGATCCTGCAGCAAAGCTCGCAGGTTGGTGATGGCTCTTGTGGAACCTCCCTCTGTGGAGCAAGGGGCGTCTTCCTCTTTCGGGTGTGGAAGCCGCACTCACAGCAAACATTGTGAGTTCTAGCCCGACGCTGTTCATCTCCCTGTACATGTTCTCCTGCGGGGTGAGGCGCTCAAGCGGGATGAGAAATCTCGGCTGCTCTCTTTGGTCTCTGGCTTGTCCTAGTGGGCGCATGACAACGCGCTTAAGGAGCCCTGGGAGGCATCCCTTGCTCCCCTTCACTCTGTACAGCTAGTCGGTGAGCCCCTCCCCTCTTTCGGAACTTGTTTTATTGGAAGCAATCCCGTTGACGCACCTGGGGTCTTCCTGTATAGGCGTGGGCCAGCCTCTGGACATCGCAGAAAACAATCCAACCCTTTGAGCTAGTCTCGTGAAGTACCTTCACCTCGCAACCCTCATGACAAATTCAACTGAAATCCTCTGGGCAAGAATCAACGCATCATCATGGACCCGATGTTTCTCATTGTTGGCCAACGCGAGTCTTCTTCACAGTTCTCCTGCTGAGTGCATTCTAGACGGTGGCATTGCAAACATTCCCACCATGGCATGCGCTTCAGCGCATCTGATCTTAAGGTCACTAGCAGATTCTTTCCCAAATCCTAGGGCCCCCTGGACGAAGTTCTCCTGGTGCCCTGGCAGTCTTCTGCGCTACTTCGCACGCCATCTCGCCGCTGGCTATGACAGGTGCAACCAGCGACTAGAACGCCCCCTTGGTGGCAGCTTTGGTCTCAAGGCCGTCTGCCTGCGGGTGCGCCTGGTTTCTGCTCAGCAGTTCTCTGTGCGCAGCCCTTCTCCATCCTCGGCGGTGGACAAACCTCCCTTTGGTAAGCCACTCTTTCGTGAAAACGGCCCAGGACCGAAACCGACGGACCTGGACCCGCAAAAGCGACGGCCGCGACGCCCTCTCGCGAACCGGAAACGGCCAATTCGCTAATCGACGTGTCAGGGTAGGGGGTCTATCAACCTCCGACATTCCCTCGCTGGAAAAACACGCAGGCTCTTTTTTGGTAAGGATTCACTGGGCTCCATGGAAATTCCTGATTGCTCCTGCTATAAGACCTCCGCAACCCTCGCCGCGGCCTCTGGCAGCATGCTGGCCCGAGTGCGCCTCCTTCCACTGCGCTGAGGTCGTCTACACACAGGAGCTGGTGGCCTGATTGCTCTTCCTCTCGGTTCTGCTGACAACCGGAGTCTGCTGGGGGTACCCCCCGCACGAGCCCCTCTGCCTCGAGCGTGCTCCATATCTCGGTCACCGCTGGAGCGGATCCAACGTTGAGCGCGTCCCTGGCCACGGTGGCCCGTGGTTCGCTGCCCACACGCGGCCTCTTGCACCCTCGCCTCCCCCTGAGATTCCACAACCCGTGATTCTGACTGTCAGCGATCTGTTGGCGGGCCCGTTCCTAAGTTGTGCGGTGATCCAGAAGTCCCTGCGGGGCAAGGTTGCCAATGGCATGCTGCAGTGCCGGGCGCAGCGCTTGTGATCCTCTGAGGTCCAGAAAGTCTCCGCTCTCTGATTGCAGTGCTATCGCCTGCTGGCGGACTAGGGAATAAAAGGCTGCTGCCACATCTGAGAAAATCCCAGAAAGAAGACACATTTGCGCACTTTGTGCTGCAAGCCTGGTGAGCAGGCAGTGAATGGCATAGTCTGTGTCCATGCCTTCTCGTCCTCCAAACTGGGTCTCGTGCAGCGCCATTGACGCGAGGTTCGTCAGGTGACTTCTGGGCTGTTTGTGATACAGCTTGCTGGAGTAGGTCGCGAGAGTGATGCTCTCATTTGCTTCCGCTTGAGGGTGGTCTTCATTTCCCCTGGGCAGAGCAACCATGCCGCTGCGCTTGCACACTGCACTAGTTTCCACAGAGAGGGGGTTCAACATCCTGGCCGATGGCCCGGGAGCACCTTCGCAGGGAGCCCGTCGCTTCCTGACCCACTGCCAGAACTCGACTTGTGCAGGCCGACTTGATGGTCAGATGTGTGCGGGCAGGGCTCCGTTCCGTCCCCCTCCTCCTCCGTCCCCTCCTCCTCCTCCTCTCCTCCTCCTCCTCCTCCTCTCCTCCCTCCTCCTCCCTCCTCCTCCTCCTCCTCCTCCTCCTCTCCTCCTCCTCCTCCTCCTCCTCCTCCTCCTCCTCCTCCTCCTCCTCCTCCTCCTCCTCCTCCTCCTCCTCCTCCTCCTCCTCCTCCTCCTCCCCCGTTCACTCCCTGTGCCGCCGTCCTCCTCTCTCCCGGCTGCCCCGAGGCGTGCGCCCCTGGCCCGGCAAGGGCCGTCGGCTCTCCGAGCGCGCTGGCGGCGGCCGCCCTCGCCGCTGGTGAAGCGTGCGCGGGCCGGGGACGGGTGGAGCGAAGACGGGGAGTGGGGTCCGAGAAGATGGGGTCGAGGATCCAGGCTCGAGGATCGAGGATCTAGGCTCGAGGACCTGGGCTCGAGGATCTAGGCTCGAGGATCTAGGCTCGAATGGCCCCTGGCCGCTTATCCCCCCCCTCGATCCTCTCACCCCCCTTGGACGCCCCCGATCCATGGCCGGGCACACGGCCAAGCCGGTCCACGGGGTGCCCGGGTTCCTCCACTTTCGAGGCGGGTGCTGGCTGCACATCTAGAATGGCTCCTTGTGCAGCAGCGCCACATATTCACAAACCGGCCTCGCCTGCAATGCCGTATTGCACTACGCCGTTGCGGGAGACGCACCCTTGGCCCACCTCTGATGCCTCGCCAGCTGGCCTGCGGATGGTTCTGAGCTTCAGGTTCGAGGTTCTTCGGCCTTAGAGGTCCGAGGCTCTTCAGAATTTCTGATGCGTTTTCGTGCTCGAGGGCCAAGAAACGGCCCCTGTCCCTCCCGGGGGGCCCGCAAGAGACGTGCGCGCCCAGCCATGCAGAGGAGTCCACGCGGCCAGCCTCCGTGGCACGAGCGTTTGCGCAACGCACACTCCTGAGCCCCGCGAACATCCCATGCACACGTGCGTCTTTCTCGCTCCTGTCCCTCCCCTGGCCCGCAGCCGCCGCGGGATGGACGGTTCCTGTGCACGTAGCCGGCGAGGGCGTCAGGCTTGCAGAAGGCGGCCAGCTGCCTCGCGGCCGCGGCCGCGCCCGGCTGCAGCCACGTCACCTCGCAGTGAAGGGGGGGGATGCCTCGACGTCCTTCCATTGTGAAGAAATCAGGATGCAATGCTTTTTTGTCGTTTTCGGCCTCTGCAAGCCTTGCACTGGGCCCTGGTGTTGTACAACAGCGTCTCCGTGACGGACTGCGTTCATAAATATTCGCCGTCTCCTCGCGCACGCTCACTCTCGCTACACAATGTTGGCACTTTTCTTTCGTCTGCCCACAGTCAGTCTGGATCTGGCGCAACCACTCGATGAGGAACCGTCAACTAAGAGATGCAGGCGGGACAACGCTCGCCACGGCAGAGGTGGAAAGACACGCGCCAAAATCTACGATCGAGAGCTTCGGGCCCTGGCGGCGGCCCTTGCGACACGCCCTGCCTTGCGAGCTGATGGCGTGTCGCTCTGCTTCGCGGGACTGGCCGTGGCGGGAGGGTGGGGAACGCTCGGAACGTTGG